ATCAGAGAAGCATTATATCGAAATCAATCGCGAGTAGAGAGGAATTTTATTCTACTTCAAGAGATTATAGAGAAGGAAGGAGCCCGGGTGGATGTGGCTCAGGTCAGCCGACTCACACATATATATATATATATGTAACAAAAATTATATAATATATGTTTAATTAACATTATATTATATGAATAAAAAACGTATATTACCTTCCAAAAAATTAAATATGTATTAATATAATATAATAAGAATATGATATATATATATATAAATATTAAAATTCCAGTAGCAATCTTCTGTTTTATGCTTTATTTGCAAATTGCATGGCTGTCTTTATCCCCTATATTTATATAATATTAAAAATCATTTTAAAATAATATAATTTTTTTTCCTAAATTTTTTTTTTTCGATTTTCAGTATAAAAATTAATTTAAAAATAAAAATTTGTCATAATAAAAAGTATTTACTAAAATATAAAGTGTAAATAATAGGGAATAAAGACGTTATTGTGTGACCCCTGCGTTATTTCACGAAGAAGTTGTGGGACAAATACATCCTTTAAAATTTAAACTACAAATATTTTAATTTTTATATTATAAAATTCAATTAAATAAAATTTTAGTCTAATTTTGTAACTTAAAAAAAATTAAATTATAAATTAAGTGCGAAAACGAAATATTTCTTACACAATAATTCAGAATATCCAATAAGGTTACGTGAATTATCAATCTAAAAAAATAATGAAAAATAAAAAAAAATAAATAAAAAGTAAACAACTAAATATTTTATTCGCAACCCCCTTGTGGATTATGATTTAGATCTTGGTTATCTTGATCTGAAATGGTTAATAAAAGAGTGAACTACACTATCCTAATAAGAATATCAGACTACTCACCGATACAAAAATAAAGATTGGTAAAAATTATAAAAATAACTAATTAAGCTCTTAATTTAAGTAAATTTATTTATCATAAATAAAATCATTTATTGTACACTTAACGTAGCGAAATTTTCAAAATTGACCTATAGAGACAATAACACAAACAATATCATAATTTTATATTCAATTAAGCAGAATAACAAATTTTCTTTTTTTATCTGTCTACCAGTATCTATGGGGGTCTATAGGAATGTCCCCACTACGCATGAACCCTTATTTAATATTTTTAAGTAACCGATCATCCCTATACTCCATCTGGTATGAGTGCCAAAATACCAATTCTCGATACCTCGTCTGGTATGAGGCAACATTCAATGTAGGATTCTCTATGCACCCGGTCCGTCTACCATCTCTCATGATATATAGTAAGGCTACCATTCATTCATTTATTAAATCAAACAATTCTCCGTTTACATTTAATTTATAGTTTCACAATTTAACTGTAAATGACACAGAACAATCAATATATGCATTAAGAAAACATCACTGAATCATCATACCAACTTTAGTGTAATATTATGCATTTCAAACAGTAAAATCATTCAAACATGATCAACAGTGAATAATAACCAGTTCCGACTCCATTAGTAACTTGTTATCAATTATCGAGATTTTTTAAATCGTACAAAATACCACATTATTTATAATTAAACTTCAATTTCATAACAAATAATATGATGAGGGATTCTTATCCAAATCGGTGTCCGAACGCTAAACTTTTGGTTGCACTTACTGAAGGTCCCCAGATTCTTTAAATTTTTCTTTGGAAATTAAAACACGCTCTAAGTACCTAGAAATACCCCAAAAAAATCCAAAATCATTGTTAGAACCATTTTCTAGTAAATTTCGGGATTCCAGCACCACGACGCCGCTATGCTCTAGCAACGGCAGCGCCGCCTGTGGCGGTGGTTTACCTCACGTGGGCCGTTTTTGACCAGTTTTGTACTTATTCATGCAAGAAAACAAAACCTTACCTGCGGTTGGATTTTCCGGTGCAGTGACTCCGTCGGCTCACCTTCGTGGTTGGACATTTTTCTTCAGTCAACCTATGAGAAACAAAATAGTGAATACAATGGTAGAAAAATTACACGAAACAAAAATCGAAAAATGTCTCATTGGGTGCAATTTTTGATTTTTTATATGATTCTACAAAATATCTATATTTACAAGTAAAATTAATAAAAAAATATTTCACTATAATTAATAAAAATACATCCCCCATAAATTAATAAACCTATATATATTTCTATAATATACATAAAATTAATCGTTAAAATAATTGTAAAAATATCCTTATAATTAAAATTATCAAAATTTAAAGTGCATCAACATTTATTTATTTTAGTTATAAAATATTTAAATTATTTTTGTGCACAAACATCTACTCACCAACAATTAAATTACAGTAATGAAATTATTGAATATAAATATTTTCTGGGGTACAATTTATTTCCAACTGGTCTTAATTTTTCTCTCCTTTATTCTTTACAATTTGAAAAGCACTGGAGAAATTTCAGTAATTCAACATTTCTCTAACCGAGAACCCTAGATAGTCATCAAAATAATTTGGAGGTTCAGATATAAAGCAAGATATTACATCTCTCAGTGTAATCACCCCTACAACTTCATCGTTATCACTCCCTGCAACGATGTAGATTCGATGAACCGAGTTCGAAGCAAGACTCGATATCACGCTGCCTAAACTCGAATCCAGCTTGCACGTTATTGGTGGTATCATTCTCCCGTAGTCTTCTCTTGTTGTAACAATCGTATCCATAAATTCTTTGACGGTTAGTTTCCTAACAATTAAAAATATTATTAAGAAAAGAAAATATTCTTAACGAGAAAATAATCAAACAGTACAAGAATTATTATTAGTAAGATCGTAAGATAATACCTAAAATTGGAGAATAATTCGGATTTGAAGAGCAAATGTCGAATGTCTCTCATGCTCAAGTTCCCAATGATCTTATTCTTTGGTCCCTCGACGACCGGGAGACCACCAATATCGTGTTCTTTCATTTGTTTAAAAGCTTCGAGAATTAATTCATTGCTTCGAATTCTAATCAACTAATCGAGAATACCAACAATTGTTTTTCAAATGTCAAGTTAGGAAATTTAAAAAAATAACTATCTCAATAGTAAAAATTTACTCAATTACCTTATCAGAAGACATGAAAGGAAGTCCTAAATCAGAAATTGGATGTGAAGAGATAGAATCAAACCAATCTCTTCCTCTACATCCATCAAGTCCATGAACAATTGCAGATTGAGTTATATAGTTTTTGATCTTCGGATTATGCGGTTCGATCACGGGCACATTTCTCAATCGATATTTTGATAGTAACAATAATACAGTAAGCATCGAACTGTCTGTTGCCACAGGAACAAAAGGAGCCCAACGAAACGATTTCAGGATCGATTTTACCTTAACAGGACAAGTAACTAAATTAGTCTCCAAGTATACTAAGTGTATAGTTCGAAAACTAAATAGTGTAAATATAAGTAAAGTGGGAGGTGAGTTACAGGGGTTGACTTGAATGGTTCTTCTTGCAAGAGTAGCTTGTAGAAATCCCTGCCTAAGTTGTCTGCAGCAGTGGGAGCATCTTTAGCTGCGCCTTCCTCTGCGACAACGCCTCCGGCCACAGCTGCGCCGACAGCAAATGCCGTAAGACCGGCTACGGCAGCAGGACCTGTGACACCTAATGCCAATGCTCCGAGAGCACCAACGGCTCCGGCACCGACACCGGCTGCAGCCGCTGAGCTAGCTGATAAGGCAACAGCAGCGAGTTGAGCATTTTCCAGCACCCATAGAACAATTGCTGAGTAATCTATGATTCCTAAGTAGCTTTCTCTCCAGTCTAGACTTTTTTCAGCTTCTGGGTTTCTCACCGGAGCTGACATAATATTGCATTCTGATAGAATCTTAACAGCATCTCCAATGGAGGTGTCTGCTAGGATTTCAATTACTGTACAAATAAACAAGTTATGTTTGTTCTAAAAGGGTTTGTATTCTGAATTCATAATTTTTTATTAAAAACAAAAAATGGCTCAAATACTGAATCTTAATTTGGTAAAGGACTGACTCTGTGTGTGTATATATATATATATATATATATGTGGATGTATATTATATTTGTTTAGTCACCTTGGGGAACTTGTTGGAAGGATGAAACTGGGATCTCTGAGAAGGCAGATGTTAGTCTCTCCTGCATGGCCTGGGGCAATTTCTTCCTGGTTTGAATTTCTTCAAAGTAGGCATCGCAGCTTGCAAGTGTTTGACTCTCTTTCAATTCTGTCGCTTGTGCCATGTCCAACACTGAAAAAATTTCAACTCTTAATTATAACCATACACATATACAATATATGTGTAATATATATTTACACGTGTCCACGAGTATTTTACAAAAATACCCTCTCAACTTACTCTCGATTACTAAAATACCCTCTTAACTATATACATATATATAAATATTTAAAATACAAAATTAGAATACAAGTATAATTATATTTTTATGTGATTTATTTTTACACAAAATTAGAATATAATAATCACATTATATCTTATATAATTATAGAAATTACATACCAATCTAATTTTATAAATAATCATAATCAGCATTTTCCAACAAAAAAAAAATCAAAATTTTTTAAACACAATAAAACAAAGAATTACTAATCCAGAATAATAATAATTATTATTATTAAAAAAAAATCTAACAGAATATCAAATTTTCATTCTCACAGACTCATATAATTTTTAAATAAATCAATTCTATAATAATAATAATTAATTTCAACAATAATAAAAATAAAGCAAAGAAAAATAGGGAAGAAAATAAAAATTCAGATTTCAGGAATGAAAATGTGAAAAAATACAACTAACGGAGTACCTGAATCTTCAAGAACGTAGAACGGAATTCTCTTCCTTGTTTCAGCTTCAGAGATCGGTTACATCTATTTCTTTTATGCACCGAACTTACCTTTGCCACGTGTCCCGTAAACAAACGTGGCATTATTACAGGAAGACACGTGTCAGCGTCATATGTCGACTGCGTGTGGGCCTCTTAATTATTACCTAAAAATAGACTCATTACATTACTCTCCGTTCTACCACTAATTTTTTTTTAAACCTAAATTATTAATTAATTAATTTTAATTATAATTTAGTTTCTGAATTAAATAATTTAAAATGTAATTTATTTTGATATTTCTTTAAATTAAAAACCCGTAAATTTTCTTGGTGTATTGCTTAAAATGACATTAAATTTCTCAAATAAATTATTGTTCTATTTTAGTATTATAAATTTAAAAAAAAATTCCAAAAAATAATTACTGCACACCTCTTTTTCCCTCATTCAACAATTAAATTATCAAAAATTTCTAATAGAAAAAAATAATTTATTTTAAATTTAAAAATAATTAAAAAGTAAAAAAAGGTAATTTCCTTTTTTTTTTATTTTTATTTTTAAACTTTTTAAAATTTAAAATGAACTGTTTTATAACCTAACTATTTTATTTTTGTTCCCTTAAAGAATTAATGAAAATTATATTTTTAAAACATATGCAAAACACTAAAAACAAAATTGTAACATAAAAAAAAAATATTAACTATCAATGACAAATATTAAATTTTAGAGACTAATATAAAAATTTATTCTAAATAATTTTAAATATATTATAAAAGTTATAATAAATTCTCTCTCGAATTCTGTTTACTTCTTTTATTTTAGATGACACTCTTTATTTTCATATTCTTATAATGTCCCGTATATTTTTTTTAGTTATTCTTTATATCGCTTAAACTATAACTAATTGTTCGAGATAAACTTAAATAAGATAAGTCCGGTATGAACTATAATTTAATATGTAAATTTACCTTCCATTGCATCACTCCACACAAATAAGTTTTTTTAAAATGCTAACTCGATCAAAGTTCCGTTAAATAAAATAATTATATGTTGATTTCTATCGAGTCATAACATATTAATAAAGTGACAAATTTTACGTTCATAAATAATATTTACTTTTATAATAATTATAATGATTAGGCTCGGTAGTACATATCGAATACAGTTGTTTTACGTTATATATTACTTGTATCAATGGTATTGAAATTAAATTATGATTTTATTACTTAATTAAGAAACCTCTAACCCATCTTTTTAAACCCAACCTATGCATATAAATTACAAAAACTTGTGTTTCCTATTACTATCAAATATTAAGAATACCGTCAAGAGCAAATTTCACAAAATTGAGTGAAGATCATTTCAACATAGACAATAAACATGTCTAAAGGAATTGTCGTTTTTGGATTCATAGTGCTCATTATGGGAAGCTTTGTGATGCAGGAGACAGGTGCCGAAAACATTGGCAATGGAGCTATCGGTCGTGGTGTGGCTCCGGGTTGCAGCCAACTACAACCTGGAGAATGCAACGATACGCCGGCAAATCCTTATACTAGAGGTTGTAGCCCCGGTAAAAGATGTCGCCCGGGAAACCATGGCTAAATTTATTTTACTTTTGTGACTAAAAAGTATTTGATTCACACGTGATTCGTTCTGTTCTTGTTTGATTTAATTATAATCTAATTTAATTTTTATTTAATATTAAGTTGTTATTTCATTTATTAAATTCAATTTATACTTTATTTGGTTACTGTGCCGTGATGGGTTAGCGGCATGGAGGCCATGTATTCAGTGTTTATTGGGTGCGGTTGGTAACTGGTGTGACATATCAAATGGGATATAAGTTGGAGAGTGAGGTTGTAGCAGGTTAGTGATGACCGATCACAGAGTTCAAATGAGAAGAGAGAATTCATAAAACTATAAGATATTATATTTAATTATAATTTACATATCTAAAAATTATAAAATAAAAAATAATAATAAATTTGATTCGATAGACTAATGAACTATGATCGAATTAATTTTTGACAAAATCAAATTGTGTTAATCGAATTAAACCACTAACCATTTAAATTGAATCGAGTTATCCTAACTGGTTTAGTTTGCACTATTTAAATGAATTCTGTCAATTCATACAGACTCTCAGTATTAAATGTGTGAAAATATTACCAATTGAAAGCTAGTGATTGAATCTTAAAATATGTAATAATTATAAAAAAATCATACTATGTGTTTGTAAATATAAATAAATAAGATAAAATTATGAAAAAATCATATTATACATTACCATACCATCATTCAAATAAAGATGAGATAATTTGAGATTTTATTATTATATTAAATTATGTTTAATTATAATTTACATATATAAAAATCATTTGTAGCATGAGAGGAACTACTCAAGGTATAATTAATTGTTCTATATAAAACTCAAAATAAACTTGAATAGAAGAAAACGTATCTTGCTCTGGCACGGAATCATATCTGCTGCCTTTTGGAAAGTTGTTGCTGCTCCGTTTGAATCTTCTTGCTCTGGCGCGGAATCAAACTCAATTTTGGAGGAGATCTGGTGCATGATATCTGCTGCATTTTTTGGAAATTTGTTGCTGCTCCGTTTGAATCTTGTTCTGTCGCGGAATCGACCTCAATGTTGGAGAAGATCTGGTGGATGATATCTGCTGCATTTTTGGAAAATCTCGTTCTAGTGCGGAATCAACCTCAATTTTGGAGGAGTCTGGTGCATGATATCTTCTGCCTTTTCTGGAAAGTTATTGCTGTTCTATTTCCGCTTCAATTATGAAGATAGATTGACGCTTAATTTCCGCTTCAATTTTGGAGGAGATCTTCTTCCATCGACATTATTCCTTTCCTGTCCGTCTTCCTCCATTTCAGAGTCCAGAATCACAAATCTCGACCCAGAGCTGTGAGAAATCAACTTCCGAATCTCAGATTTTCCTTTTCTATCCGCAGATTGACTTTCCAGATCCTTTCCTGCATTCAATGGCCCGCTCTTTCCTCTCTCGAGAACTCCAACTTTGAGCTTGATTTGAAATACCCCGAACAGTCGCCTCTTTAACATAGCAAATTGAATTATATACTGTAGTTAATTTATTTTAATTCTTTACATAATATTTAAAAAATATTTATTACTTTTAAAAAAAAATCATTAGTGCGTATTTATGATGTAAATATTTTATTCAACCAAAAAATTCACATAACTTATTATTTCAACACATAGAAAGAAAATATATTCCTTAATTTAAATGTTATTTAAATTAAATTATAATTTCGTCACTTAAAATTAAGAAATGTGGAACACATGCTTTCATACCCAACTTATAAATATATATATATATATATAAATTACAAACCTATGTTCTTCTACTACCATCAAATATTAAAAGAGAGTGAAGATCAACAATGCATATGTCTAAAGGAGTTATGGTTTTTGGACTCATGGTGCTCATTATGGGAAGCTTTATGGTGCAAGAGATAGATGCTAGAAGTATTGACTACGGAGCTATTGGTCGCGGTGAGACTCCCGATTGTAGCAACGGAGAATGTAATGACACGCCGGCTAATCCTTACACTAGAGGTTGTAATCCAAGCCAAAAATGTCGGGGGAGAAAAAACTAAAAATTTAGTTTAAAGTTTTACTTATCTTAAATTAATCTACAATATTTTATTATCTAACTTATACTTATAGTTAATTATACGTTTATTTAGTTTAATTATCAATAAAAATAATTTTCATTTATCAATTTCTTTAAATATAAGCTATTCTCGTATTGTTATTTCGTTTATCAATTTTAATTTATTTTCTATTGAATTACTATAAAAACTTGTTTAAATTTTAGATGAGTAAATGATAATTACCGAATATATAAAGTACTATATTAATTAGATGAAGAATGATAGTAACATAAAAAACAATATGTATCAACATATATGCATGTTTTCCAATAAAGTACGAATAACAAATATTAAATTTGTGGATGTTTATGTAAAAAAATATTTATAATATATGATATTTGCTTGAGTGTGTAAATAGCAAATCTCTTCATCTTCTTTGATGCAAATTATTATTTTTTCAATTGTTTAAATAAAATAAATTAATTATTTTTGTTAAATTTATTGTAGTTAATATCTAATTACTATATAACTTTCGTATGAATAAAAAAAAGTAAAATACAATATAAAATCAATTTACTTTTTAGAGACAAGATGTGTTGTAACGGCCCCGAAAATATTAAAATGAAATGAGTATTTAAATATATCAAATGCGGAAGCGAGATCAAAATTTCAGTTAACATCCCTTACACGAAAAACCAGAAACGTACTTAAAATATAAAAGATTAAACTAACTAAGAGAGAAACTCGAAAATAAAACTATGAGTATGACTACAGAGTCTCTAGGTATCCCCTTCGTCGTCTTCCTGCGGAACGGGCTCGGGAACCATGTCTTCCTGCGGAACGGGCTCGGGAACCATGTCTTCCTGATCTGAAATGGTTAAATAAGGAGTGAGCTACACTAGCCCAGTAAGAACATCACGATATCTCACCGTCACGGAGGTAAAGGTGGGTAGAAAAACACAAAAAGACCAATGGAGCATAATTTACAATAAACTCGTTTATTAACATGAAAACCTTTACCATCCACTTACCTCGGTGGAATTTATGAAAACAATATAAGAAAAATAATAACATTATCACAATCATGGAATAATATAAGCTGTACAACATAGCACTTATCACGCCTTTTGTAATTCAATCATTATACAACATATCCTTTTCTCATTTACCAGCCTACTAGTATCCATGGGGGTCCCTAGGGGTCCCGCTACCCGTTAACCTTTAACATTCATAATCAGTTTCCAGGGTCGTCCCCATACCCCGTCCGGTATGGGCGCCAAAACCATAAACCTCAATACCCCGTCCGGTATGAGGGTGAAACGGGCCGTCCCCATACCCCGTCCGGTATGGGCGCCAAAACCATAAGATCTCCATACCCCGTCCGGCATGTGAGACCACAATCCCGGTAGGGTTCCCTACGGACCCGGTCCGTCCACCATCTCCCAGGATATCTAGTCAGGCTGACCCCATCATACAATTATCAGTCTATACAATGTTTCATTTCCCTTTTTCCTCAATAAGCATCATCAATTCACATTTGAACAAGCAAATCGTAATTCATGCCGAACAGACAACATACAGTATCAGTTCCTCAGTCATTCAACCCATAATTAATAAAACAGTAATATATGCATTCGAAACTATAAAATGAACACATCAAACCCCATAATGCATTTAAAGCTGTAAAACAGTGTAAAACAGGCCAAATAACAGTAAATCATCAATCACACTAGACTCGGGCTCCATTAGCAACCTTAAGCAATTTCACACATGCGTTAATTCAAGAAATACCGTTTTTATCATTTTGAACTTTAATACCGTGATAGAAAATAGGGTGAGGGGTCCTTACTTGTTTTCGGGATCCGAATACGATTCACAGTGCGCCTGCAGGCCGTCCCTAATTTTCCCTGAATTTTTCCCGGGGAACTGAAACACACTAACAGTACCTGCACGTGTTCCAAAAAAATCCAAATTAGGCCCAGGGCCCCTTTCGGACCAAATCGCAACTCCGGCACGGCGGCTCCGCCGTGCTCCGGCGACGGCGCCGCCGCTGGCGGCGGCAAGCCGCCTCGGGTTGGCTGTTTTCGGCCGAATTCGGCCACACTCGCATTGGTCCTTGTCAGAAAACAACCCTAGGGCCCCCGGGGGGGGCCAAAAATCACGGAAAAGCGGAGCTTACCGGCGGCGGCGCTCTCGGGTAGGGCGGCTCTCCGGCGAGGTTCGTGTTTTGGTGATTCGGCTTCGGTCAACCTGTAGAGAAAAGAATGGTGATCACGGTGATATAAAAATTGCATCGAACGGAGGCCGGGAAGGACCTCGTCGGAGGCAAAAACCGAGAGGGGCGCGCCGGCGCCGCTGGGATTCGGCCGCGTATTCCGGCCGTTTGGCCGGGATTTCGGCTCAATTTGGCCATAGGAGGAATCAGCGGAGAAAAACGAGTCGGGGGTATGAAATTTACCTCGATCGGCGGTCAGAAATTTCCCCGGTGCGGCGGCGGGTGGCGGCGGTCGGCCTCTGGTTCGTCTTCTCCGGCGAGCGGCGGGCGGCTAGGGTTTGTGGTCTGGTGTGAGGGTTCTATTTATAACCCCTTGCCTTTTGATCACAGCCGTTCATTTCGTTTTAATCTGGGCTGTTCGTTTTTGATTGAATCTGGGCCGTCCGTGCGTTTGAATATGGGCCGTCCGATCGCGCGATTGATCTGGGCCGTCGGATCGCACCCACGCGGATCGCCAACGTGGCTCCTTTCGGAGTGACGCGGTCTTGCCACGTGGCAGGCCCCGGTTGGCCGGGACTGCTGACCGGGCCTGCTGACGTGGCCCCCTTTTTTTTTTTTCCTCCTTTCCGGGTGCTACATGTGTGGTAAAATTTAATTTAAAATAATTAATTTATAATAAAAATATTATATAGTTCGAACTATATACCTTTTTATAAGTTTTATTCTATTACTCAATAAAATCATCTACCTATAATATTACAACATAACTTTAATTGATAATATAAGATTATATTATTTTAGTTCTAAAATGTTATATACAACAAAAACAAATAGTATTATATTATTAATCCAATTTTATGATTAAATTTAGTTTTAAGTAAAATAGTATATTCCTTCACCGTGTAGAATGAAAAATAGAATGAGAATGATAATAAATTGGGTTCGAGATTAACGGAGTTTTGTTCTTTGCAAATTAAATAAATTTTGTCATTTTTAAAATTAAAATTATTTCAAATAAATAAGGTAAAAACTATTTTTATCTCATCATTATGCAATTAATTAATTGTTCAAATTAAGCTAGAAGAATTATTACCCATTTAGTATTAACTAAACTATTTCTTAAAAATGGGTAAAAATTGAGTTTATATATATATATATATATATATATATATAACAATTGTTTTTTAAATTAAGGTAATTTATTTCGAATTATATTCTATAAAAGATTATAATATTTAAGATGT